CTTCAGGATGCTACAGCCAAATGAAGAGCAGCAGAAACACAGAGCCTTCTTTGGCATTTCCCTGCACCCAGTTCTGACATTCAAAGTTAGTGCAGGTCAGATGTAAAATTATAGAAAAGCAGGATTCTGTATTCTCCCACACACAGAGGAGGATGTGATGCAGAAGATGAAGAGATGGATGCAGAGGGAAAAAACAGCAACAGGCCTGAATGAAACATCCCAAATCTCCCAGAGGTGACGGGGTATCCTGAGCCAATACCCAACACCCCAAGTCATCCTGGCTCTGATAGAGGAGACACAAACCACGGAGATAAATGGAACAGCCGGGAATGGAGGGAGCTAAGGGCTGAGCCACAGACACTCCTGATAGTCATAGCACTTTCCCACATGGATGATTAACAGCCAAAGACCAATAAACAGATTTTCAGTTCACTTAATTAGATGTTTGCAGAGCATCTGAAAGTTGAAAACTCTTTAGTCTGTAACAAATGGTTTTCCATGAAAGGAAATTATTATTGTTATTATTGCAAATATATGTATGATTGATGAAAAAAATCCTTCACTTAATGTTGCAGGTTATTCTGCTCAGACATGGGCACTCTCCCCAAGCTGTTGCTCACATCTTTGATAAATGACATTTAACTTAGGAACAAGATTTGCTGAATAAGAAAGTTATCCCATCATCTAGAGTAAAACTATCTCAGCATGAAGGGAAAGAAGGGAAGTCAGGACGCAGAGTCCCATAGGATGGAGTTAGGGCTGTAGCAGGCAAGAAAACACAAGTGGGCAATGCATTTTGGCAAACCTGAGGGAGCTCATACTAAGTTCACCTTCCTACAAGTGTTAGTATGTGAATCTCACCATGGGGGAGCCTTCAATTGTATGACCAGTGTGATGAGCAGAAAGAAATATGTTACCATGCCACTCTGTCAGAGGGTGGGGGATCCGTTTGGAAACAGGGAGGGTGCATGGAAACTGGGCAGTCAGCTTCCCACACATTTGGGCAGCATGTCTGGAGTCAGGCTGAATAAACACATCCCACTCCTGCTTCTGGCACAATAGATGCATATCCACAAATAACTCATCACCAAAATTGCCCCCCCAGGCTTTGTCTCTCCAAACTGCTCTGGGTTTGCCAACAGCCTTCCCATGTAGGTCCTGCACGGAGTCCTGCCTTCTGCTCTGAGCAGCTTTCTTCTTGCTTCTGTGCTAAACTTATTTAGAAGATCTGCTATAAACCTTGTGGTCCAGATTATGACTCCCTTACAGTGGTCAGCAAATGATCATGCAATTAATCCCATTGCAAATCAAGGGAATTACTCGTGTGAGTTGCTGCTCATTAAAATGAGAGCAGGCTCAGAGCACTGGCCCACTCCAGTCCTTACTACTTGCACATAACCATGAAATCACTTGACTTGCAAGAACAGAATAGGAAGATTTCAGTGGTATCAACTCTCATAACAACTGGCCTTTTTGCTGAAGGAGATGAGCAATCATTTGAGAATTAGTAAAAACCACTGTAAAAATCACTGTAAAATTGAAAAGATCACTGTAAAAACCAGCCAACTAAAAACTATTCTAGCTTTTGTACTGCAAAGCATAAATTTGCAAACATGACCCAAATTCATGCTTAAGGTCCCAAAACCGACAGGCAAACAACATAAGAATTCTTACGCTTTTGATACAAATGTTGGGAGCTCTGGAAGTTACTTCATGGATGTAAATGGTAAATAAGAGGTGTGGCCAGTGTCCTCGCTTACAGCTAAGCTGTTGCTTCCTTCTCATCTCTTCTGCCTCAGGCCAGGTCTACCTGAGAAGGCAAATATGCCATGAACAAAGAGATGCTCCTGTACATAAGGACCGTTTGGGCTCAGCAATTACCAGCTGATGGCATTTATGGTCACTTCACACCAGTTCTGCTGTAAAAATAATATTCAGTCCCCCTCTGCTTGCGATGGTACCACCTCACTAAAA